AGCAGCAGTGGTTGCAGCAGCAGTGGTATTAGTGTGGAAGTCCCGGTGGTGCTCAGGAGCAGAGATGCTGCATTGCGCTCCTCGTGGATCAGGTATTCCCGTCGAGACGCAGCATCCTCACAGCATGGACACGTTTTTGTGCGTAATAGCGTAGAGAGATCATTTACTCTCAATGAATATCGGCCAGTTCCAAAGACAATGGGGTGGAAAACCACAGATTTACACCTTTGTACAAGGCTAGAACAAAAGCCCCAAATGTTTATTTTACTCTGTTTATTTTATACCAGTCTCGGTTTGCCCTGTGCCGACAGATTGTTGTATTGCCCCTCTGTACGGCTGCATGCCATGAAGTGCCTATTAAAGCACTCCACCGGTCTGAAAAGAATGAATGAAGCACATCTACACTTGCCCCGGCAGAAAAGAGCTGTACCAGCAGAACTGAGCACTGAGCTGACTGCTGTTAAAGACGCATCGCTCTCCTTTCGCGTGCGCGTCTCTTTGTCCTTTCTATGAATGTGTGAATAAAGATCTTTTCCCCACCAGGAGCTGTCAGCAGCCGGGACAGCGAGCCATTTAATCTTCCTGTGTGACAGGAGGCGGGCGGCGGGGGGCTGAGGTCTGTCCCCGGTTACCGACATATACACACACATGGCGACCCAACAACACCGCCTCTGCTGCCTCTCCCGTTACAGCTCAGCGATCGAGTTACGCGTCGGGTCGGGGGAGAGAGTGTTGCAGAAAAAATGAGAGAGAGAGACAGAGAGAGAGAGAGAGAGAGAGAGAACTGCAGCATCGCTGGAGACCAGCAGCAGCAGCAGCAGCAGTCCCAAGCAGTGCAGGTGAGAGAGAAAAAAAGAGCCAGAAGAGGAGGAGGAGGAGGAGGAGGCGCCTATAGTAGAGATTGAAAGAGAGAGAGAGAATGCGGGACTCCTGGAAAAAGACGCAGCTTCTCTTGGTCCATCACCGAGTCGTGCATCCCGAACCGAGATAGGATGCAGAGGATTACACTTCACTGATGCTGAGGTCGGAATCTCCGCTGTAGATGAACACGAGAGACTTTTCTGAGTCCCTTTCAACATTTTTTTTTCAATTCAGAAACAACAAAAACATGGTCAGAAAGTCGCTCTGAAAAACGCTCTTGTCTCCTCATAACTTGCTCGGAGGAATCTGACGCTTTGGCACGCTGCTCCACTGCGGGAGGGGAAAAAAGAGGCAAACGCTTCTGGATCACAAGGTAAGAAAAGATCCAGAGGAACCAAATCCGAAGACCTTAAAAAAGACAAATTAATAAATAAGGATAGCCAGAAGTGATTTCATTTCTCCTCTGTGGATGCGAGTCATTTTCCTCTCCGTCCGGAGATCGGAGCGCTGAGTGGCTTCTGACACTCTCTCTTCTGAGCAGTGTTGCTGCATTGCAGTTTCTAACTGTGGAAAACGCGAGAAAAGCCGCTATCCCAAATGTGAGTGGAATAAAAAGAAGTTATAAATGGCTTTGTGAAGTGACCCGAGCCCCTGTGTGACAGCGGGGTAGTTCAGGACAGAGCGGAGTGAAGCGGATTCATCCAAGACTGTAAATGAGTTTCTGTCTTTCTGTCGCTGCAGGATGGGTGTTTTTATAACATTATGGCATGGACTGTCTGTGAAGACAACGGGATTATTGTTATAAAACTTATTTAAAAAAAAAAAAAAAGCTCACAAAGCACAGGAGGAGGATAAAGGAAAGGAGGCTGCAGCCAACCACTGAAGTGAAGTGCAGAGAGCAGGAGCCGATTCCCGGAGCTCGTTCCGCAGAGAGCGATATTGAAAGAAGGCACGACAGGATAAATCAAACACCCACACTGTGAGGTAACTCACACCAGACCACAAAACGCCAATAAAGCAGACACAAGCCGCAGCTCAGAGACAGATAGAGACAGACAGGAAGGAAGAGGGAGCCATGCAGAGGCTTGGTGCAGTGCAGACTCTCAGCCTCGTGGTCTTAGTGCTGCAGCTGCTGACTCAGCCACCGGGTGCCAACTCAGCTCTCCGGTACCGAGTGGCAGAAGAAGGCCCACCTGACGTCAAGATTGGCAACGTGGCCACCGACCTGGGTCTCACGGCAGGTACTGGCAGTGGTGATGTCACCTTCGCCCTGGAGAGCGGATCAGAGTTTTTCAAGATTGACAATGTGACAGGTGAGCTGACAACTGGCCCGCGACGCATTGACAGGGAGAAGCTGCCACAGTGCCAGATGATATTTGATGAGAACGAGTGCTTCCTGGACTTTGAGGTTTCAGTGATAGGGCCGCTGCAGAGCTGGGTGGACCTGTTCGAAGGCCGAGTGGTGATAACGGACATCAATGACAACACACCTTCATTTCCCTCACCTGTGCTCCAGCTCTCTGTCGAAGAAAACCGCCCAATAGGAACGCTCTACCTGCTGCCCACAGCCACAGACAGGGATTTCGGGCGAAACGGTATCGACAGGTATGAGTTGATCCAGGATGGGGCGCCTGTGTCAAGTTCTAGCAGGCGCACGACTGGAGGAAACCCCAGTGCTCGAGTGGATGGACTTGTGGACCGGAGAGGCAGGAGTGGAGATAGTGGAGCAGGGGTCAGGAGCAGTGTTTTTGAACTGCAGGTGGCAGACATACCAGACGGTGAGAAACAGCCACAGCTCATCGTGAAAGGCACTCTGGACCGTGAGCAGAAAGACTCTTTTGAGCTCATCCTCAGGGTCCGAGATGGAGGAAACCCACCTCGTTCCTCCCAAGCCCTCCTTCGTATTTCCATCACTGATGTGAATGACAACAGCCCACAGTTTGAGAGATCCACTTACGAAGCGGAGATGGCAGAGAACGCTCCACCTGGAACACCTGTGCTCCAGGTCCGAGCCTCTGACCGAGACATTGGAGTTAATGGGCAGGTGGAGTACGTCTTCGGAGCTGCCACCGAATCTGTCCGCCGTCTCCTGCGGCTGGACGAGGCCACTGGATGGCTGAGCGTTCTCCACAGAATTGACAGAGAAGAGGTGGCCCAACTCAGGTTCACAGTCACAGCCAGGGACAGGGGTCAGCCTCCCCGCAGTGACCGGACCACAGTGGTTCTGTCTGTCCGAGACGAGAATGACAACGTGCCAGTGGTGGAGATCAGAAAGATCGGTCGCATCCCCGTTCGAGACGGGGCCTCCTTGGTGCCTGAAAACGTTCTGGTGGACACACCAGTGGCTTTGGTTCAAGTGTCAGACCGAGACCAGGGAGAGAATGGAGCGGTGACATGCACGGTGGTTGGAGATGTTCCATTCACTCTGAAGCCAGCTGGTGAAACAGTGCTCCCACCATTGCCTGCAGATGAAGCATTCGACAGGTAAGGCTGGTGACCTTAACTGCAGCTGATTAGTAACAGTGACAACTGAAGGATGAGTGATTTAATGTCTAGGAAATCTCTCAACAGTCACCATTTAGCATCTTTGTGCTAAAGAGTGAGGAGAGAACTATTGTGGTTAAAACAAGTATCCATTACTCACTTCCCTTATATGAGTTCATTTCCTCTTGCATGTATTAAGTGTAAAAGTAAGAAAGTCATAGTATTTTGGTGCTTCTTCTATATTTAAATGTATGACTTTAAACTAAGTGTGTAGATATTTTGCCAGGAACAGTTTTGGTTTTCAATTTTGAAAACACCACCACAGAATGCCAAGTCTTCACATCTCTCTCTCTCTCTCTCTCTCCTTCAGGGGGTTATTTTACAATTTCTACTTTCCACAGTGAATTAGAGAAGTGTCTCAAGTGTTTCTGCAGGCTTTTAATTTAAGCTGAGTACTAATTCACTGAGGGTACCAGCCGTTAGAATGTCATACAGTCTGATTTTGGACATTTTAATATAGTTTTCAGCAGACTGCAAATCCCTTCGCTTTTAAGCTGTAAAGATAATGTATGAGGCTTTTAGGAAAAGGCAATCTTTGGTTATTACTGCAGTAACTAATGGCACGTGTCATAAACTAAGGTGTTGTGCACTTGTAAAAATAAATTCTGAATTGAAGTAACATGATCAAATTGTTACACTTAATTTAATTAGACTTAATTACTGCTCCTGTAATCTCTGGCAGATGGCAACGGTTATGGTTTTATCTTTATTAAATCCACTGTGTGTAAAAATTAAATCTGAAATACTGAGTTCATTAATCCACCAGTGGATGGTAAAAAAACAAAACAATCTACTTCTTAATCACACTGTCCTTCGTTCAGGTTCGTATACTTCTTTTGTTTTGGTCTTTGTTTTTCAAATATGGGGATTTGCAATACTCTGTTTCAAAACCTTTGAATACTCAAGGATCCCCCCAGGGCTGTCAAAAAAAAAACATCGTTTTTCTCATGTACTGATATTATTAGCATATAATGGAACAACTTCCTCAGATGAATATAATAACAACTACTGATGAAACAGTTTCTGTAGTTCACAAACACCCTGGTGGCAAATTAACTAATTGACTATTAGGGAGCAGCTCTAGTGTATTATATGACTGCTTTGGGAATGAGGCCTATATTGTTTCCATTTTGAGT